GTATATCTGATTTGATGAAAGACACAGCGACTATCTACCTGACTGGTGTTTACATGCACACAGTTATATCAGATTTAATAATTTTTTTTTTATTTTTTTTAGCACATTTTGAGCCGAGAGGAAAATTGGAATACATGGAAAAATGAAGGATGTCCACCTTTTGTCAAAGAAAAGTTAGGCGAATTTTATCATAGTGTTTGGTGGGGTGGGGTGGTGGTGGTGGTGGTGGTGGTGGTGGGGGGGGGTTACTGTCACTTTCAAGGAACTACAAAATCATTTCCTGGTTCATAAAAAGCCATGGTAATACCAGCAGTGAGGGGCAAGAGGTTATTGGTGTTTAACTCTAAGTGGCATGATAATAAAAAGAATTATCAGAAATCAAATTCTTTTTAATAATACAAGTTTATTGTTCAACTCTTGATGATTTTTGCAGTATGACAATACATCATTCTGATTGGTCCACACACCCAATTCCATCATTCTGATTGGTCCACACACCCAACTACATCATTCTGATTGGTCCATACACCCAATTACATCATTCTGAAATAATTGATTTACCATAGTTACATTTATTCAGCCCCAGATCATGAATACCAAATATTTTCTATACTGTATCTTTTTCTATACCAAGATTTCTTTTATTTTTATTTCTAGAGAGGATGATTCTGAAAAGCAGGTCAAATTACCCAGGTTTGTTTTATATTCATACCAGTATTGATGTTTTATTTAATGCAATGATAAAACCATTTTATATTTCAAAGGGAATGTTTCAAAGGGAGTCCCAGGGATTACACCAATAGATCATGGAGTACTTTAATGTCCTAATATAATAAACGATAATATGACCATTGGAGTCCATGCAAACACTGCTTCTTATCTCAAATTTCAGATCTCGGAAAAGAAGTATTGGGGAAGACATGAAAACTGCCGGTCCCAATAAAAAGATTGATCTAGGAAGTCCTGAATTAACAAGGTTGTGGAATATTAATCCAAATAACTTTCAGGCCTGCCAAGATGAAAGGAGGTAGGATTTTAGTAGGATTTTTATCTTGGAGTTCTTTGTCTGGGATTCTTGTTATGTTATTTTGAGTAACGATAACCCAGTGCTTACATGTATTAATAATTGGGGATAAATAATAGATATGAAGTCATAATTCATATTCATCAGCAGAAAGGTGCAGATAAAAACTGGAATGGATCTTTTCTTGTGGGAACTTTGTACTTTGTATGTATATCTAGAGATCGATAGTACAACTTACACTATCATTCAAAAGCAGAGAATAGAAAAACAATATAACCTTGAAATATACACAGTAGGTACGGCATATGCACTTTGAGTTCATCTTTATCTAAGCTTTCAGAAGATGTATAGGTTGTTATAGTAGCATGCTCAGTAACATTTAGAGAATTGGATTGCAGATCAATTATTAACCCACTTTTCCCTGTTGCCACTTTAAATGAAACACAGAATAAATTTCAAACATATAAATCACAAATTTAAAAAAAAAAAGTTAATTTGTTAAACATGTAGAAATTAAAATAGTGATAAAATAAATACAATCAGTGCAACTGCTGAAATTAAATAGTTAATTATTAATAAATAGTTGAATATTACACGTTCTTTTAATAGACAGTTTGTTCCTGGTGTTGATGAATTATTTTCTGAAGCCATTGACCAGGCAGATCCAGCAGCACAGATAGAAGATGAATACAAGTAAGTATATGGTAATGTACCTTGTCTTTTGTAACTATAGCAACTTAAAGTGCCTGTGAAATGGCTGCTATTTTCACGCCTAAAATTATCCATTGATACATAAATATTATTAATTTTTATGTTTCTAAGCATAAATAATTTTTTTAAGTGAAAAAATGTGTTTTTAACTCAGTGTACGGAAACTTTATTTTTGTGTATTTTAAAACGAGGCTCCTCATTAGCTTCTCATTTGCATACAGAAATGTCCCTTGTGACGTCAGAAGGGGAAGTCGCTGGGCAGCTTGCATTGCCGATACGTGTAAATAAGGCAAATTTCTTGTGCTGTTTTCTCGTCTTTGACTAAATTGCCACTTATGTACTTGTTCGTCGAGGAAGAATGGACCATAATGAACACATAGTATCAAGTTTGTTGCATGGGGTTGAGTCAGATGCGAAATATGTCCGGTCTGGTGTCGCTAGTCACTGTGGTCGTCACCGGAGCACGTTTGTACACTGTCGCTGACTCCGGCAATGGACAAAATCAAATTTGACGGCTGAATCGTCTTGTTATTTAGCAGGTTACTAGACACTATTGATTTATAAAATAGAGAAATAATTTAAAAAAACCACAAAACACAGTTACTGAATAAATGACTGCCGCGTTGTAATGGGTGAACGCGTCGGGTCATGAGGGGGACAAGTGTGTGAATGGCGGTGTTTAATTGGATAACAAAAATTATTGAGAGCGACTCACATACAGACAAATTCAGAGTGGATTTAGCGTGATTTTCATGATTATGACATCATATTAAAAAAATACATTGACAGCTCAAGCCCGAATTCTTATTCCGTAAATTATTGCGCCGATCAAGTTGCAAGTAAAGGCAACAAAGGTGTGAATTCGACATTCAACACCAATCACCGAACAATTCAGACACTTTTAGCCTGCGAAAATGAAAACAGCCTGAGGGCTGCGTAATTTCCTGTTTGTCCGACGCTTCATTTTCGTGTCATCAAAATTACTGCTACCTTTTTACATACTAGTAACACGGGTGGTCTCTATAAAGCGATAATCAGGATCGCAAAAAAATCAAATCATTTGAAACACATACTCACATCTCTCTTCCTTCTGAAATCCGTCTCAGTGATCATGGGCTGGTCCGGAATCTATTTTTTAGAAAACGTTTTGTATTGTCTGCGTTTCTCGTTTAAAACCTAGTTGTTTTGTCATGGACAAGGACAGTTTTTCAAAAAAAAAAAAAAGAATCTGAGGTGAAGTGGACACTGCATATGACGCTGTTACGAGGAAAGTCCACCCCAACCTTTTCTCGTTATTTTCACGGCTTTCGTCCACCGATTTCGCACCTTCGGATCGATTGTAAACGTGGAAATACTTACATTATGACTATACGCATTACTGCAACCGCCCACAACACAACGTTTAACCATCATAAAAGTTTGTTGTGAAAACAACTTCTAAAAATTCGCTCTCTCAAAAATAAAATAGACAAAAGAAACGCCGATTAAAAATATATATCGTTTAAAAGTACAGTTGTACGTTGAATGACACAGTGATATTAGAGTACGGCCCAGGGGTATGGCTTCCTCTCATATTTTTGCATTTGGTGGCACACTTTCGGCGAGAGTCGAAAATCCGGAAACAGTCGACCTTTTCAGGATAGGTGGGCGTGGCTACAGCACGGGAAATATCTCAAATTTACTTGGATACGAGTAATCATTTTCAGCAAAAAAATCAATAATTGCCCACTTCAGTGGGGCACAGATCTAAAATGGGAAGCGTGTGGGTGGGCATTGCACAGGCACTTTAAGACTTTTGTCTACAACCTGGGAATAGTTCATATGCTGAATGTTAGCGTATATAGAAAGCTGTGGGTGTTTGATCCATATACATTACCGGTAGTCAAATATTACTGTCTGCATCACTAAACATTTAGGAGATTAACAGCACCCTGTCAGAGCAGGACCTGTCCTCAGCTGTGTTTTTCAGTGTTTTATTTTTACAAATTGGACAGTCTGACAAAACAATTTTTTTAAGTTTTCTGTATTGTATATTAAAATATACGTGATTAAATATGAAATAATATTACTCACTTGGTGTTAATTAAACTTGTCTTTTTGGCAAAACGTAGTTGAAAACCCTTTCAAAAATCAAAGCTTAAAGTTTATCCTGTTGGAAGTTGGCATATTTTCCCATTTGTTGTCTTAATTAGTCTCCGTCCGTGCGTCCGTGTGCCCGTCTGGAGTCATATCTCAGAATCCCTTGGGCTGATTCCGTTCATTCTTTGCATGTGCCTCGTACTTTATGTGGGACATATGCACATGCAGTGGTTTAGCGATTCGATTCAAAATGGCCAACTAGCAGCCATCTTGTTTTTGAGAATGTTGTATTTTGGACATGCTTTGTCAGTTTTCATTTCAAACTTGGTACATAGAATATACATGTTAGGATACATGACTGTCCATGACGATTTATTTCACAATTGGATCAAAGATGGCCGACTGGCAGCCATCTTATTTTTTGAAAATGTTGTATTTTGGACATGCTTTGTCAGTTTTCATTCAAATTCAGTACATAAATCATACATGTTAGAATACATGTCCCTGACTGTTCATGAGTTCCTGAGTCCGTTCGTCCGTGTGTCCGTTCGTCAGTCTGTCCAGAGGCATATTTCAGAATCCTGTGGACCGATTCCGTTCATTCTTTGCATGTGCATAGTACCTTATATGGGACATGTGCACATGCAATGGTTTAGCGATTCGATTCAAAATGGCCGACTGTCATTTGAGTTGTCATTCAAACTTGGTACATAGATTATACATGTACTGCCTGATGCAAAGTATGCACATGATTTGTAGTGGAGATTGATGGATTCCTGTACTGCCTGAATGCATTCTTTGCAGTATATTTGTGATAACCTTATTATTATATAGAATACCACAAAGATGGTTGACTGCCTGCAACTTTGCTTTTTGACCATACTACTATATCTCTATATATTAGCCTTGACAAAGAAAATTCAGTTTGGATACAAGAAGTGCATGTGTAGCATACCCTCTTTAATTTCTGTCCATATATTTTGATTTTGGAAGAGTCATGTAATACATTTAATTTCTGTTGATACCAGACCAGCCAATTATTCACTTTCATTTATTAACAATGCTTTTGGTTCATATGACTTTATTTTATGCTGGGATAACATTTTCGCGAATTCCAACGAGGACTATGGTGTCAGCAATGACTTGTTTAATATGGGAATCACACTTTGTTCTCCCAAACATTGAGCGACAGGCCAATTGGCCTATTATCCTGAAAAAATCGGAAATGGTCCATTTCTGTCACTGATTCAGATCAAGGTCACTGAAAACCTTAGCATTACCATCTAACCTAATTATTTATTCTGAGCATGCTCAGTTGTTCTCTCAGTGTTGTTGGGAGAAGTAATTTATGATGAAAATCGTGAAAAAGAACCATTTAGGATTTTCAGATCTGGAAACAAATTATGTGCATATTCAACAGTGATATACATGTATGTTTATTTCTGATTCTCATGTTTGCTTTTATTATACAGAGAATTTGTGGTGCATTGAAGTACACCATAGTATTTGTATTTATTGCCGGTGTACTTCTCATTATTGGGTAAGTACATTCAACAAATGATTTAACACAATGTGCCTACTGGTTAATACATTAAACATTTAAAATTACATTTATTCAGTGAATAAAAGTATACTGTAAAGAGTTAATTATTCACTGACTGGAAAATTTGCTAAATTAAAACCCAGTGAATATGTAAAATTTAGCATAGAACACATTATCTAAATGATAAAACTGTGAATTTAAAATCCACTGAATTTGCCTGAAATGGTAAATCAGCGAAATTTAAACCCAGTGAAAATAAGTCATTTCACAATAGTCTAATAGAATGAATTTTGTAAACTTTAATTTTGATATATCCAATAGATTTATAGATAGATAGCCTTATGTTTGTCAGTACCCTAGTTTGTTTGTGGAGATATTCCTTTTAATTCATGTGAACTGTGTTGTCACCTGATTCAAGAATGATTTTGATGTGATTTCATAGCATTTCTCAGTGTCAGTTTTCCTGTAAGTACGAAAACTGTGACTGTACGAGTTCTTAAGACAAAAAGTCACATCAACTTTCTTGAAATCACAAATGACCTCAAGGTAACAACAGGGCTGCACAAGAAAACAAATCATGCAACTAACTAAAAAAAATTGTTTGAGGTTCACTGTAAATTTTGTATCCTAATCATCTCTACGAAAAGTATATTTATTGTACTTTTTTTTATCCAAGCCTTCTGAAAACATACTGTATTGTCAGTTACATGACGAGTAACTGGCTGAGAATGCTTATAATCACAATTACATTATTTCTCTGTGCAGAGCACCTCATATAGTGTACAGCGTACTTTGTAGTAATACTGGTAGTATTGTGCTATAGAATTAATTAGAAAGTTATTACATATAGTGTATGTATTTTGTGCTTACAGTGCATTCATACCAACACAAGCAGCTCCCCCAATCAATGGTACAGACTGGGAGAAATTCACAGACTTATTCCAGAAATTTGGTTCAAATCGTACGTAGCATATTACATATACATTCATTATATTAGCCATTGTGTGTTCAGGAAAATGTTGTGGGTCTATTGAACTAAGACTGTATGGTTGATTTCATGTCTGTTTGTAAAAACCTAATTAGAATCTTGAAAAGTTGAATTGACATTGTGTGGAAGAAAGTTTAAATCATAATGTACCATACAGTGGGATGTTAGTATCATTCTCACGAAACATCAAACAATATTATGTAAAAGTTGATACATGTATTCATGGTAATTATTAATATACTAGTAAATATATAGTAATTGCTACCACAAGTATATCAACATTTAAACATTATCGTTTGAAGTTTCATGAAAATAGTTGAAAGATGTGGTGGCCGTGATATGCCAAGGTGATGACATAACATGCCAAGGTGATGACATAACATGCTAAGGTGATGACATAACATGCCAAGGTGATGACATAACATGCCAAGGTGATGACATAACATGCCAAGGTGATGACATAACATGCCAAGGTGATGACATAACATGCCAAGGTGATGACATAACATGCTAAGGTGATGCATGCCAAGGTGATGACATGACATGCTAAGGTGATGACATGACATGCCAAGGTGATGACATAACATGCTAATGTGATGACATGACATGTTAAGGTGATGACATGACATGTTAAGGTGATGACATGACATGCTAAGGTGATGACATGACATGTTACGGTGATGACATGACATGCTAATGTGATGACATGACATGCTAATGTGATGACATGACATGCTAAGACGATGACATGACATGCTAATGTGATGACATGACATGCTAAGGTGATGACATAACATGCTAACGTGATCCTATGTGATCCTATCTAGGATTGAATGATCTTTTCATCGGATTTTTACAATATATTGCAATATACTTAACTCACCTCACCTCCATCTCTGCACAGATGGTGAGAATGCCTTATCTTTCTGTATTAGTATCCTCACATTGTTTGGTATGCTATTCCTCGTTATCTACACAGTAAGTACAACTATATTTGTTTGCATTTTCACTATGTACTTTCATGTAGTTTAAAGGGGAACCAATACTATAAATAGGGGCAAGATGGCCACCGCAATTAGTATGCTAATCTGAACCAAGCCGCTCACATCGTGGCGGGAGCTCCGGGAAATGTGCCATTTATGATGCTAGAGAATCAAGCTGTGATTCCAAATACATTTCTACGGGGGCATGAATATGTATGCTAGCGATTACACTCATCTGGTTGGGCTTTTGATGTATAAAAGTTGTTGTTTTCGGTCGAAACGTGCCACAACAAGTAAAAGTTTTGAGTTTAAAATGGCGGCTAATGTATGCAAATGCCTATCAATCACAGTTTGAGTAAGCGAGCATAATAAGCATTCATTTACTTAGTGGACAGAGGCGGAGTTAATTACCCATAAGCACTTGGTGCAATCCATGGGATTGAGCAGTTCCCCTTTAAGAGTATCTAATTTGTATAGATAGGTACCGTAAATACTCTATTTACAGTACCTATCTATTATTAGGAAAATTATTGTATTTATGGTTTTAGATTTCACATTTGTAACGTTTTATTTACTAAAAGAAGTTATTCTATTAGTGGATTTTTATAACAAATCGGTGATCAGTACAGGAAACTAATTCCTTGCACTGTTAAGATTGAGGTTGGGAGAATTAAAAATGTTGAAAGCCGTATATGAGACTTCAATATCAAGATGCATGTGTCTGAAACTACTGGTATATTTTGAAAATATTTACTATAGTACAAATATTTATTTAAAAAAAAAAATATTCCATGGCCTCAAATGAACCATGTTTTGGTATCTTTAAAGATGATGTCACAATTTCATAGTGAATGCATAATGTAATCAGATCATTAATAACCCTGTGGAATATCAAAAATATCGAATTGACTGTATCACATAGAACAGGTATGATACATGGTATAAAGCTGTTAACTGCAAGATTGTTGAATAAATTCAAAAACATTTGTATTTCTTGCAAACTCACATATTAACCTTAAGATACATTAATTGTTACCGATCCGTAATTTCAGGCGTATGGTATGAATGCATTACCGATTGATATGATATTTGGTGCACGAAGTACCCAGGATGAGAAAAATGAGGTATTGGAGAATGCTGACAACATCAAAGATGAAATAACAGCAATAAGAATCAAGGTACAAAATACAATGTACATTATTATATTGCAATTACAATCAAGGTACAAAAATAATGTTCATTATTATATTGCAATTAGAATCAATGTACTAAAAATAATGTACGTTATTATATTGCAATTAGAATCAATGTACAAAAAAATAATGTTCAGTATTATATTGCACTGAATACATTTGAATTTCCATCAAATATCTTAATTGCATTTGTTCAGAATGTATTTGCCATCATTCCCACATTCGAATTATCCTTCTTTGAGGTAAACTATGTTAGCAACATTGAAAACATTCCAGAATATTGACATCACATTCAAACAATCGGCTATGACAGCAACATAATATTGGACCAAAATAGAATCTCGCCATTGAATGCAAACATTTTCATCTTGTGCTTTTTTCTTCTCTCTATTAATTACTAATACAAGGAAGGAAAAATGTATAATTATGAGATTATTTATGCACATAGACAGTACAGGATTGCATCGACTAATATTTTGGGTTAGTCAACATGATCGTATTAATGTCTTGATGCATACTTTGTGTAACTCTTGTGTTAAAACTGTAAACATTCTTTTTTAGTTATAAATATTACTGATTTTTAGGAAACACTTATAAGTGTTCACCAAAAGAAAAGAAAACGAAAATTACATGTATGATTAACTTGCAAGTATTTAAATCTAGACATTTTTTCTTTTGAGTCAAATATGATACTTTTATACAAATGTATTCACATTTTTTAAAAATCTTAGTCATGTATAGTGTACAACATTAGAATAATCTAAAACTTTCATGGGATGAATGAAGATTACAAAGTGGCATGATTTATTTAAAAAAAATTGTTTTCTATAAAGTTTAAATTAAAAAACAATAATGTATTCACTCAAACCTGAATCCAAAAGTGAATTTGAAATCAAACCTGAGTCCAGTGCCAACTTTATGCATAATTTTATTTTGCTTTATCAGAGGAGAGACCAGATCAGTAGCTCATTAATTTTGATTTGAAGATTCATTAATCATTGTGTGGTGCAATTTCGTTTTATTGTACAAGTATAATGTATTAACTCTGTGTTTTTTTTCAGTATCGAGGCAAACGTCGTGCAATTTCCACTCGAGACCAGGCAAGACTCAATGATCTTGAAGAGAAAGAAAAACTAATCAAGAGAAGAGAGCGCCATCTTGAGAAAGCAGAGAAAAGCTGGTGTAACAAGTGTTCATATTTATGGAGACCATTTGAGATTATTGTTGGTGTAGCATTAGCATTGCTAGCACTTTTTATACTGTTATCACTGTTACTAACAAGGTATGTATTTATGGAGACCATTTG